TCCATTCATATAATATCTAAAAGTGACAATCTTTATCTGTGTGGAGCTGAATATCTCTCAGACAAAGGGTATTTTGAAGTTATATAAAGTAATCTCCATTCTGCGATCGTGGTTCGGTATAGCTATACAATTAGACACTTCGCTGGTGCAGTGACCATAACTTTTTGCTAGGTTTTTTCATTTTTCGTTAAGAAAAAGGAAGAATTCTTGACGTTCATGGCAGCGTCTCGACTGAACACCTTTGACAGTCAATCCAAGGCTGCACTCTGTCGTTGAGGAGGCAAAATCGCATTTGAAAGCAGGCGTTACCGAGTATTTCCTGTTTGAACCACCTTTGGTTGCGTAAGAACATCTACTTATTGATTTTCTTTATTTGCTCAGCTGTATGAGATTACGATGATCTGTCTGCGCGATGCCCCATTGATGGGTTGTGTATAGCACTGTTCGAATTGCAACAAGTCTCTTTCATGTGATTACTTCATATGTTGTTACTGTGGATTATCTGTCGGTTGTCAGTGACAAACATCGCCTGTGTTGCTTGCTCGTGAACTATTTTCGTTCGCAAAAGTGTCTTCGAATCGGGATCACAGTGTGAATCATTACATAAAAACCTGGAAGTCCTAAGCGTGATCTTTGGAAATCCAGTCGCCGACCATTTAAGTTCCCAAAAAAGGTCGTGCTGTTTTGTGGGAAACCTCAGTAGAACGATTCAATAAGGTTGGAAAGGCGAGAAAATGTGGAAATAAGAGTAGTGTTTGTGCACAACCGCAAACAGGTCAGTGAGCCAACCATTCAAGCAAATAGATTGTTATATAAAATATGCATATGAAGATCTACATTTTTGCGACCATACAATCAGTTCGACCCGGTTCTTAGGTGACTTAGAAACTTTTTGGGAGGAACTGTTTGAGATATCTCATTTCGTAGATGTCTATTTTTTCTTGATAATACTATCGCTACCTCCTCTTGTTGAGATCACATATGCTTTGCACCCTACACCTCCTGCATATTTGTGCCCTCCATTTTCTGTATCCCCTTGAAGACCTAGCTCTGAAATTTAAGTCAATTGAGTGAGATGTTGACTCGATTGTTCCTTGATTCTTTCATCCAACAATTTACACAAAGTAAGCAAAAGCCCTTTTGTCAGTGAATGGAGTTTTTTACCGAGTTCGAAGTAGTCCGTCGACCGTCGGGGACCCCATCCCCTTCCCACAATTCAGCATACGGCCCCAGCAGAAACGCCAAAAGGGCTGGTTTGCTTACTTCATTTCACTCCATGTTGTGCGAATTAC